TGTTCACAATATAAATAGATTTGAGATTTGGCGCCTGTTATCCATGAAATAGATGGGGACACAATTATAAGTCTACATTATGTTGTGATAACAACAGTATGTTATAGTGCTGTAGAATTGCCTCTTTGGTGTAGTGGAGTAGAGCATCTGTCTGAAGAGCAGGTCTGTGGTTCGATCTCCAGGACACCTCATATTAAAAGATGTTGAAAGATGGTTCTTGTTTTTACCCTGCCTGGCACTTGGCATTCAGGGCATAAAACAAGGACTGATAGGATTAGGAATCAATATAATTTGAGTAGGTATCCATGTTAAAGTGCAGCTAGCACTGTAAAACTGGCATTAGCACGCAAGCTGATGCACACATATGTTTTTTGTGCACATGGCTATTTAAGTGAATCTTGATGCCAGATTAAACACTGTTCAACCCCCTGGCATTAGAAATTGGCACTAAGTCCTGTAGTCCTTGCCAAACTGCCCAATTAACTATTATAAGGACTAGTAGATATTTGCCTGTTTTAAGGGTTTTGCTATGTTATCATTATAACAGGGCTCAATTTAGGAATTTTCTTATATGGGCACTTATATGAAAATTTCAAATATTCTAGAGGTACGCACATACAACACAATTGTATTTGAAAATGTGGACCTTTTTTTCAAATTTAGCAGCTAAAAGCACAAGGCCCCACCCTAGAATTATCCCTGTTATAAGGACTAATTGGCAAAAGCTGTAAGTTTCTTTTGCTGCCTCTCTTATTGTGCTATGCCTGCTTGTGCAGCTGGCCATTTGGCACAATACATGTACATGTATTATTTAGTACAGAAGACATTTGAGGCATTGAATGTAGTATTACTTCAGTCAGCAGTTGCATCCCTTAAAATCATGCTGGGGTCTGCATGTCGTGAGTTCAGTTCATCTGAGACAATGCAGTTCACTGCAGGTGTCAGGATCATACTAATCATGCGTTTGAAAGTGCCCTGACTGTGAGTCTTGTCTTGTTAGTAGGGCTGCAGCGAATACAGTGTGAGGCGAATACGATTCATATCACGAAGATAGGGTAACGAATACCAATATCAATTAACAATAACAATAACAAGTCAGCAGTTTATGTATTATTTATTATATTCAGTGAAACAATATCATAAATTATTTGACATTGTTTGTTAATTATTAATAAAATATACATTTATACACTGCACCTATCCAGGTGTATCTGCTCAAATGCGACAATAACCAACGACAACAATACTGTCAAATTAAATATTATTAGAGTGTTGTCATTGAAAGAAATCTATGCATATAATATGTTGTTATGGATATTTTTAGGCACAGGGTATGTAAATATACATGATAGCATATTCATAAATATTCGATTCTAGTGGCCATGAATTACGAATTCAATTCATGAATGGTTACGGTTCGAATCACCGAATACGCGAGTGAGATCATAACAGCCCTACTTGTTAGCGCCATAGCTGTGCTCAGTGCTCTCACCAAAGTGGTAAATGTCTTACACCAGATCCACACTGGGCAAGTGTCCCAAATTAGCACCCGTAGGCCAGTGGAAGGTAGATCTTCTGTTGGGCTCAAAGTTAAACTTTGTATGGGTCCTTATGGCCTGTAGTAAATTTATGTGTTGATTTATTTGTCACAATATGCTTCAGTGTTTTGAATGAGGCTCTGAAGAGCTCAGTTGGGGCCTGCAGCTTCTAAAGTCTATGGGTCCTGATGGCAGTCTGGCAATTGTTTTAATTTCAAACACTGCTTTGGGCTTATCTCCGACATAAAGCTGTGATGAAACTGCAGTGGTGTTCAGAGTAGTGTGGAACCAACTCGCTCCTACCAATACCCAGTTCAGTCAAAGTAGTGAAAGTGTGGAAGCTGTCATGTGGCTGTCTCCAGTACTGTGCTGACATGCTGTAATGATTATCTGACATGCTGCTCACAGCTGTCGTAGACCCCAACTACTTGTGTTTCATTCGGCCACTCTGTATCCCCCTCTGCTGTGATCACAGATCCATGGTATCTTTTCACCGAGTCCAGTAGACCCTCTTTCTTTATCATGTGTTTATAGTAATAAATTCCAGATTCGAAAACCCACCAGACATTCAACTGATGTTTACTGTGATTAATCATCTTGTTTTTTAATATTTGCCTAAGTACACAATATTTGTAAACAACATGAACAAGGAAGTCAAAAATCCAAAATAACATGCACTGGACATGCTTGAGTATTCACATAACATCACAATCAACATTTCCAACTGGATCATTTGTGTGAGTCCCATGGGAGGGAGTCAAGCATGCTTTCATCTGCATCTATTTTTAATTGGAGTGAGTGTAGATTTGAGTATTCTCCCTAGATGGCCTGATCATGACAATGTAGCAAGTGTTATATCAACTCAAATGTGCATACATAGCACATGCTGAACAAGACTTACTGAGAATCTCATTAAAACAATTTGATCTACCTGGTGAATCCATGCGGCTATTTGGCTACAATTTTGATAATTATGTACTCATGAGGCTGCTGGATACTGCTGATGCAGGGTATTGTGATGTATCATGCTGACTGGTGACTACTTGAAGTATTACTGGTATGCTAATGATTGGCCACATCTGGCAGCATACAGCCATGACAATATGTCGAGGAATAAAATGACTAATACCAGTCTTGGATGAAAACAGTCGTACTGAATATGCTAGAATTTGTCATAAATGGCGTCATAATTTCAGTAGATTTTAGTGTTACTGTGTACCAACCTAAGACATGATAATGGTATTGAAAGTTGTATCATGATATCGAATGCCCCAACAATACAGTAAGGTCATGATACGATACGTATCACGATACATAGGTCACAATACAATATGTTTCGCGATACTCATATTTACATCAAATCTCATGGAAACTTCTTGACAATAAATATTTCAGAGCAGGTGCAAAAGAATAAGCAAGCTATGGCCACATGTTTGTTGTGGCTATTTTTAGTAGTGAACTTTAAATGCTAATTACAACACATTTTGCAGTATCAGCAGCTATAGTCTGTATCAGTAAACGGAAAGTAAATAATTTATTTCAGCAAGTGTACCATCTTGTATCGATACAGAAAAAAATGTATCTTGTATCGTATCATTACATGAAAATTCATGATGCACCGGTGTATCGTTTCACCCCTGTCATTGATATGGAGAGTTCATCACCAAATTTTGAAAATGCTAAGCATCTTTAAACTGCAACCATGTTAATGAACCACTACTGAACAGTTCTGTATTACACAGCATGATGTATGGATACACATTAGAAAAGCGACAGACACCTTGTGTCAAATCCATCTGGTTCCCAACTTAATTTCTACTTGTGGTTACATAAACCATGGTTACATAACATGATTTTTGAGAGCAAACATATACCTAGTCTTCCAAATTATCTTTAGACTCTGGACTTAAGACTGTGTCCTTGTCTGATCTTCAGGAATAGTATCCTTGTCCATGTAATCTGGTGTCACAGTTTCAGGGTGGTTCATATTCTAGGACATTTGCGTATTGTCATTAAAAAAAACCTATTTTTTTTACAATTTGGTACAGATATGAAAGAAGGACATCAAAGGTTGATAAAATCGTGACAAAGTCCCTACAGTCTTTGCAAAAAACTTTTTCTTGCCCGAATTTGTGTTTTGGCATTATTTTCAGTAGATTTTAGACTCAGTAAATAGAGTAGTGTCAGCACATCTTACTTGACCAGAAGAAATATTACTTCACACGGGCTTCGGACTTGTGTATTAAGTCGCAGACTGTCCAAATGCCATTTGTCTCCTAACAAAATGCCTGGTTGTACAGAACTCCAAGTCTGTATGATGGATCTTAGTGTTGTGGAACATATGGAATTGATAGCTGTAGTTAGCTGCTGTCCAGCGATGCAGTAACTCATTACCATCTGACTCACTCCATTCACCTGACTAGGCAAGAGTAAATTACATTTCTTTATGTAGTTTCCATTTCACTATACTTTCATAACATTGCTAGATAATTGAATAAATTTATCTTGTTATGATTAGCCCGACTGGTCATGTGCCAGTGAAGCCTTCAATTTGGTCAATAACAAGTAGGTCAAAAGTTGCCAGGATGAACTTCTGACTAAGCCTTGTAATGTCTTAAAATATGGGTCAAGGGATATAATTCCAGTCCTGTATTGTTTCAAATACACTGGCAAGTTCATTACTGTAACCACTCCCCATCTTCTGAATGCATGACATGGACATGTTGGTAAGACGGGAAGGTTAACCAGCCAATTGTTCCACTAACAAGGTATTACTTAAGGTCACAGGATAATGGATGAAGCTGGGTTGGAATTTGTGTTGACTGCAACTTTTTTTTTCAATAATTGAACAAAGTGACAAAACTGAGTTCGTAAACATGCTAAAGATGCATATGTATGTAAAAATATGTTGAATCTGAATACCAGCCCGGCCTTGGTCACTGAAATAAGTTTAATGGGCAAATTTGTTAATATTAATTTATCAAAATACCATGACTATAGAATAATTTGACTTTTGTTTTGGAACATTAGCCTATTGACTGTTAGCATGTTTCATAGCATATCTGGTTTTATTTGATTTTCTCTATTTAACTATGACTAACTCACTCTATTACCATGTTTTAACTGTTTGTTTCCAACTATTCTACCTGAAAAAAGTAATGAATAATTTCACATTCTACATGCGAGTTTTACGGCAACTCTGTCCCAGCACAGGTGATAGTTTTGTCAGTCAAGCTCATGTGCAGTGTGCCTATATCAACATCCTCTTTGTAAACATTCTGAGCCAAACTAAAAGATTTATGCTGTATTTTCCTCTGCAGTGCATCAATGAGACCTTTTATGTTTCAAGATTCTGACACAATGATAACCACTGCTGTCCTATGCACCCAGCAGGATGAACAAACTCATTGATATTTATTTGTTTTTTACCTTGAAATGATAAAATATTTTCTTTGTTTCCAGGTTGTCCCAGACAAGCAGCCATGCTGATGCTGTGTCGCGATGCGAGCCATATTCTGAAGTGAAGATGAAAGGGAGAATAGAAACATGTGGCTGTGCATAAACCACTGCTTCAAGTCCCACTAAATCAAGGAATACCCTTTCACTAGGAACGTTCAAATCTGTAAGTGAATTCTGTTCCTTTGTGTGAAATAACGTTCTGGTTTAAGTAATTGCACTCTCTCTATGAGTATCTCAAACACTCTTACAATTGGAAGTTCTGAACTCAAACCATTTAATGTACCCGTGTTGATCTTATGGCCGAACAATATGCAGTCTGTGCCAAAACAATGGAGAGTACCAGCCCGGGTATGGCTCTCAGGATACTTTTCGCTAACATTTGTTTTTATATGGACTATTTTTAGATGAGCTTACAAGACCGAACAGATTTTTACTTGACTCTGTTTTCAAACTAGTGGCTAAAGTTGCAGACTGATTAGGTACACAACCTTTTCGGCCATAGAACAGGGTTTTGTAGCAGAGTGGTTAAAGCTGTTGTCACACCTAAGAGTTTTATTCCCCACCGGTAACTCTGCATGAAACACTTATTTTGCCGACAGTGTCTTAAGCATGTTTAAACCTTACTCATTTGAAATTAGTGCATACATGACAGTCAGATTTATCAATAAAAGTATTGACCACTATTAGTTGATATGGAAAATGAATTCACCCCCTCCGGTACTTGATGCTTCCCTACGAGGCGCTCAACATTAAGGGGATTAAACAAGCTTTTGGTTGGTTTGGTTTGTTGTTTAACGCTGCACTCAGCAATATTCCAGCTATATGACGGCGGTCTGTAAATAATCGAATCTGGACCAGACAATCCAGTGATTGACAACATGAGCATCGATCCACGCAATTGGGACTGATGACATGCATCAACCAAGTCACCGAGCCTGACCACCCGATCCCGTTAGTCACCTTTTACGACAAGCGTAGTCGCCTTTTACGGCAAGCATGGGTTGCTGAAGACCTATTATACCCCAGATCTTCATGGGTCCAGCAGTCAATAAATTCAGTATCTTGCCATGTTCAAACTTGTTTTAAACAAGCAGTTGTTGGCTCGGGGGTGTAGTGTCTGAGTGGCATGTCAGTGGGCTACCACAATAAAATCGGCATTATCCCGGGCTAGTACAAGCAGCCACATGCATGAACATCACTATGTAAGTGCAATAATCTTGAACGCAATGTAAAAGCTCCAATTTCTTCTCTCCTCCCATGAGAGCCGACTAAAGTTAGTTGGATATTTGTGATCAAGCTTTGTGACTTGGATTGGGTCATTGTGACCCAATAGCATAGATTAGTACTCATTTTTTCACTCAATGGTTTGTGTAATTATTTACAGGCCACTTTGATGTTGTTGGATTGTTGTTGACTGACGCATTGCTTGCCGTAAAAGTCGATCGTTTGGTCAGGCTCACTGACTTGGTTGATGCATGTCATCGTATCCCAATTGCATGGATTGGTGTCAATCATTGGATTGTCTGGTCCAGACTGAATTATTTACAGACAGCCGTCCTATAGCTGGAATATTGCTGAGTGGCTTTAAACAACAAACAAACAAAACACTTGCTCACTCACTGAAATGTTCAGACAGACAGTATGTGTGTAGTGATCAGCAGTTAATGTGTGATGTCTTTAATGCTGGACTCATTTGATGAACAAAATAGATTTTCCTGGGTGCTGAATAAGGTTGTATTTGTGTGAGTTAAATATGGGATGTTGTTAAGGCTGTAGCGAGTGTATACTTATTGATTTTGTTGGGAGTGAGTATGTGGCAAGATCTTTGTAGGTAGGACACAGATGGTCATCGTAACAAAGACTTTGGCTTGTTCCGTTATTGATTACAGTGCACTTGGCTACTGCTGTTTGTCAAAGAAGACAAGTATTATCCCAAGCCTCACCACCACCGTCTGCTTTACATTTTTTTCCACTTTTTCCCTTACTGGAGATTTATCTGCAGTGATCATGGAGATATGATTAAAAAGTTACAGGAAATCACATCACTCCCTTTGAATCACAGGAGCCCAAGGTTCCTGATACATTTTGTGCAGGCATGTTTGTGATATGTTCATGTCATGAATGCTTGGCCACATCAAAAGAATGTATGATGTTGTGTGTCTCATCTTGCATTAAAGACTTGCAAAAGGCACTGCGTGGGCTTGATGTAGCAGCTGCAGATTCAGTAGCATGATGTGGCAATCTGTATCACTGCATTATTTCAGATTGCACTGATTGTTTCTTTGAAATGAGACACGTTAGGCACAAGTGGGGTGCATTCTTTATTGTGATTGCATTTAAGTCCAGATCTTTTTAATATGAATGAGGGGTGTTTGATAGTGAAATAAGCGGATAAATTTATTATTTTAGTCAAAACTTTGGATTTCTGTTCCTGTTTTTTTGGTGATGACATTTACAAAAGAACCCCCCCCCCCAAAAAAAATAGTTCAGATTGAAACTACTTTCATGTGAAGATATCATTGTGATTCAGATACCTTATTTAAGTTATTTTTACCGCTATTGTTTATCAGCCATGAAAAAAATGCAATGGTGCGCAGTTTATGGTGCCGGCAGTATAGATCAGATATAGCATTATTGAATCCCCTTGATAAAGAAGAATTGGTAATGCCATAAAGATTATGAGAACTGCTAAGTGTTAGTAAACTTTTGGACTAACAATATTGCATACTTAGTGCTAAAATTCTGATATACTTGGACCAAAACTTGCCCAGTTTAATATATTGTCAAACATTATCAGTGGATAAGAAGGTTTAACTTTTCTCACTCACTCACTCTGCAATTTTGATTCAATTCAGTTGAAAAGGTTGACTGGACTTTGAAAGCAGTTGTTCACTGTAAAACCTAAACATTTGAATTCATTTAAGGAAGACAAAAAAACCAGACAGCATCTTAAGTAACCAAACTCATGGAATGCTGCTAAATTATTGATTCTCTAAGGAAAACCTATTAAAATTAATGTAAATAACTTTTGTGGAGCAAGATGTTTCACCTGGGAGCCTGTGAAAAGCTGACTGCAAATACAACTGGAGCCTGGTTGGCTGTGGCAGGTAGCGGAGCTCGGCTCCATGTTGCGAGGCCATCCTGAGACACGCAGGCAATGAGACAAACACCACTGATGCTGGTTACATACACTGCTTCATGCATGCATACTAAAGAAATGCTCATGTTGGTTTACTTTGAGAATTTGTGTTGAATTCCCATTTAGAAATGTGAAATTCCCTGTTTTTGTCTGCTGGTATCATCACTATGTGGATATTATCCTGACTTTTTCATTTGGATATGACTTTGAACTTAATCAGAGTTCTAGATAGGCTTTTGGTTTAGGAAGAGAATTCACCTGATGAAGGAGTAAGCATGTGCTCCCAAATGTTGTGTTGACATCCATAAATTCTCTTCCTTACGCCTTTCAAAGACTTGAAGCTTTTAGATACTTGGGTATTTTACCAGACGTATGATTGGGTATCCAGAAGTTTTAGAGGGTGTTAAAATTTATTTTAGCCACCTTTTTCATGATATTTGGGTATTTTAACCTGTTTCGTAACCATTCCTGTAAATCATTTAAAACTATATGAAAAGTAGTATACCAGACTGTGTCTGATTCTTCTTCGGGAAGACATTTTTGTTTCCAAAACCTAGCATTGTAAGAAAGGCACTATTTCTTAAATCACCAATCAACGACTGTTTAAGATACATTGACAAGGCAGATGTGCTTCTCAATTGAAATCTATCGGTATTCAAGTTTTTTGTCGCACAGGATTTTCCTAATGTAACTTCAGTAAGTGAATTTCGCGATCAGCTGATACACAATCATTTTATCTAACAGTTGTAATATATCGTTTAATCTACATGATCTAATAGTTGTAATATACGCATTAGTTTTATTTCAAAGCATATCTATTGTTTTTGTTGAATATTTGATATGCTAGCATTTATTTCGTTTGCTTATTTCAATTTATTTAACATGTTTAATCCATATTTTACGCAAATACGGATTTTATCTTGAGCACTGACTTAGTTATTAAACATGTTGATATATGAAGTGGTGTTGAAGAAGTGTAGGCGTGTGGGGTTATAACTCAGTGGGCTGGTAATAAAGTGTATGTATTTCCTGATTTTCTTATATTTCCTATACATTTCCATAATGTAATCACATATTTAGACTTTACAGTGTGCAACAGCTTTCGGAATCCAATGTATAGGAACTGATATTTCCAAAACCATGTAGTCCCCGAACTGTTTGTTTTCTAATTGTTTTCTCATGAACAAAAACATTTGTCACCTCTCTTTAGAAAATTAGACTTGATTTTGTAATAGCTGACATCTTCGCCACATCAGACTTTGACTGTTACATGTGTATCTTTGAGGCATATGTTTGATTGATTTTGTCCCACTAGCCGCTGTATATGACCTGTGACTGTTTATGTAGATTACTGGTTCAACAATAGTATTTGTTAGTCACAGACTCACCAGCAAGCTCTGACTAATATGTGCATTAAGTCCAATGATTTAGCCTTTTCAGATCCTGATCTGTCAAAATACATTTCGATAGTGTGTGTTGCCTTTGTGTCCTAAGCCCAAGGAGAAGGAAAAAGTTGCTCAGGAAGCAGAGTTCCCACTGGCTTTTGAAACTTCGGGGGGACTGGTACTTTTTAGAGTTGCCACTCCTACTGGACTGGCAACTCTAAAAAGTACCAGTCCCCCCGAATTTATGTCAGGCACAACTTTCAACAAATAAAAAACGTATGAAATTTACCTGATTTTAATTCTGTCAACATTATGTCCAGTGCAATGACGTCATCTCTGAAGTAGCTTAGTTAGATTTACACATCATTCAGACATTCACCAAAGTACAGTTACAATTGTCTCTTTTTTTAAATATTTCGAGACTAAGTTGCTACAAATATATATTCATCCTCGAAGAAAAGCGAAATGTTATTTACTTGAACTAAAATTAGACAAGGGGAAACCCTGATGGTAACAGACAAGCTGACTTTGTTTCGAAAAATATACTTGTATGAATATTGCCAATGTTTTGTTCAACAACAAATATTTATTATGTACTTTACTTGCCGGTCCACAGGAACTGGTAGTCACATGAATTAC